AGCAGGGAGCCCGATGTGGGGCTCGATCCCAGGACCCTGAGATCATGACCTGAGCTGAAGGCAGACGCTTAACGACTGAGCCACCCAGGTGCCCCCAAATATAACTCTTGAAAAAGAAACCTATCTCTTTAAAAGCTAAAAACCCATACCTATTTATTGGACACATTTTACTTTTCTTGTTGGTTTCCCAGGAAGCTAAAACCTCTCTAATATTTCACTGTCTTTTAAATTAAATAATAAAACGTTAATTTGTAAAAACAAAAACAAAAAAATGAAAGAAAAAAACATTTCCTACCCTCAAGAAGACTACAGTTAATAACTACGCAGCCAGAGTATGCTGGGGTAAGCGCTGAGATGGGGGCAGCCTGGCTGTGGTGAGAGCCCAGCAGAGAGCACAGAGGGGCCTCCGAGGTCTACCCCTCAACACTTGTCCTGGCTCTCCTTCCCCACTGCTCTGCTTCTGTGTAGCCAACCCCTGGTCTCTTACAGGGATTAGAAATGTCTCCTAACTGGTCTTCCAATTCACCTTCCATAGTTTCCAGAATAATATTTTTGAAATGCTGATGAAATCATATCACTTCCCTGCCTCAAATGCCATATAACTAATTGCCCCAGAAGCCACCAACCTGGCTCCTGAGTAGGGCAGACTCTCCTGCCCAGTCTCTTTAGCCATGTGGCAATGCCTAACTTCAAGAGTGCTGAGAAATTCAGTCCCACCATGTGTCCGGAAGAAGGCAGAAAATAGGAAAACTGGCGAACGGCCTCCATGACTACCACAGCTTGGTGCAGTGCCTACCTGCTTTCATCTCTCTCTTCCACTGGACACCGCGGATCCCAAGCGCGGCACAGGGTTCCTGCCCTTGAGCGGTTTGCTTCAGGAATGGGCAGAGACCAGTAAATCAATGGACTGTAATTCTCCATGTTCCTGTGACAGTCCAGGTTTGGCTGGCGTGTTGGCTGGGGAAAACCCATGGAAGAAGAGCAATGGATTTTGGGAGAGGAGAGTGGGAAAGGGACAGTACCGAGGCTCCAGAAAAGGCCCAGGTTGGGATGATTTAGCACAAGGTGAGTCTGAGCTCCAAAGAACTGTCCCCTTCAGCCATAGCTGAAATCAGAGGGGCAGAGAAGATACAGGGCACAGAAAGTGGCTGCTACAGGGGACCTAAGGTTTCTTAAATTACTGCTTTCTGTCAGTTGCTGTGCTAGGTGCTAATTTATGTACCTTACTCTTTTTAGTACAGCAGCCTTATGAAGTAGGTTTTGTGATAACTTACAGAAAGATGGTAGCATGTCATCACAGCAAGCATAATGGGTGGCTGTGACGGGGTGGCTTTACCTTCATCTGGTCATTTTTCAAAAAGGTCTATCTCAGAAATGGGATTTTAAAAATGCAGATATGACTGGGCTCCAAAGGACTGACTCATGCCAATAACACTCATGAAAGTCTAATGTATAAAGGGCTCATTTATTAATTTCAATGGTAGGTGTAACTTGCAAGATGATTTGATACTTATGTTCCTTGGGCTTTTTTATTCATTTGATATTTTTGACAGAGCCTATTGTGTGGCAGGGTCTTTGTGTCTTGTCTAGTCTTTTTATTTGCTTGTTTGATCTTAGTCGTTTAATGATCAAAGGGGGTTAAAGTTTTTTATATTTTAACTTTTTTTTTTTTTTTTAAGATTCTATCCATTTATTTGTCAGGGAGAGAGAGGGAGAAGCAGACTTCCTACTGAGCAGGGAGCCCAACTTGGGGCTCGACACGGGGCTCGATCCCAGGACCCTGAGATCACGACCTGAGCTGAAGGCAGATGCTTAACCGACTGAGCCACCCAGGCGCCCCAAAAATAAATTCTTTAAAAAAAGTCAGTGAGTTGTACACTTAAGATTTATGCACTATATGTGTGTTATATCTCAATTAAAAAAAGATAATGCCAGTGGGTGTGTCAAAGGTGAAGTGTTACATGTTATTAAAAATAGATTTGACCATTTCATCTAGGTTTTCCAATTTGCTGGCATACAATTGCTCACAATACTCACTTACAATCCTTTTTTTTTTTTAAGATTTTTATTTATTTGGGCGCCTGGGTGGC